AGAACCTGAGTGACGGGTATGATAGAACCTGAGTGACGAGTGTGATAGAACCTGCGTGGCGGATATAATAGAACCTAAGTGACGGGTATGAAATAACCCGAGTGACGGGTATGATAGAACCTGCATGGCGGATATGATAGAACCTGAGTGACGGGTATGATAGAACCTGAGTGACGGGTATGATAGAACCTGAGTGACGGGTATGATAGAACCTGAGTGACGGGTATGATAGAACCTGACTGACGGGTATGATAGAACCTGACTGACTTGTATGAGAAAACCTGAGTGGCGGATATGATAGAACATTATGGAGGGAACCTGAGTGACGGGTATGACAGAACCTGAGTGGCGGGTATGATGTGTATATATATATATATATATATATATATATATATATATATATATATATATATATATATATAAAGAGAGGATAACAGAACATTAGTGTTGAGAATATTGCATGTTTCAAGTATGAAAGTGAACATTATTGTAATATGGATTTTTCAGGGAATATCCATAAATCTCCAAGAGGAGCACCTTGCGATCAATTTGAGAGTATCAGAACAGACAATTTCGTTCTATTTTTCTTTCTTGCTTTGGACTTATTCCTCTTGAGTGTGATGATAATGTCAGATTCGCCCGAGTTACTTCTAATCAATGAATACGTAGAGTTATATTTTGTTGAAAGACGTTGAAGCACTTGATACTGGAGCTTCACTAACGGATCGTTGATAGACTGCAGGAGCTACTATAGCACAACGAATCCATATTAATATGTAACTGAAAAAGCTTCTTTTCCAGGAGTTTCTGATTAATATTTGAAGAGTCAAGGAAAAGTGTGACAGCTAATATCATTACGCAGCTGGAGGTTTATAATGTACATTACGTTAAGGTCACCCTCTGCCCTGGCATCAACTCCAGTTACAAGATACAAAATATGTTTACTTTCCTTCCCGAGATGAACGTACGGCGATGACGATGTTTCCACGCTTTCACTGTGCCTTAGGCATGACAACAAGGGTGAGTGTACTTAAGCACTAGATTCACGAGACTGCTCTGGATCTGAGTAAACAGACAGGTGACACTTTCATAATATACAATGGGTTTGAAACACTAGTGCAAAGCCCACCTAATTCACAGAATTAGCCGTCCACCTTGTATAGGGGAAACCTGGGACACTTTCTGAAGACGTACTGTCGCAACACAGGGCAAGCAGCCAGAAGAGGTCAGAGCGGAAGTAGGTGCACCCGTATTATCTGACGCACTGTCCTTTTCCTGGACATATCCTCGTTTGAGAACATTTATGAAAGATCATCACTTATTTGATGATGAACAGGTAAACAAATGGAATTTGACGGTCAGATAAATCATCCCTTATTCAGCTGTACGTCTGCGTCATATGTACATAACAGTAATAGTAACGTATAGGACAGTAATTGGAATTACTACATCTTCTCTAACACCTGTAGTACATATTCAACAACTGACACCGCCGGGAGGTGAACATATTTGTGACATTCCCTTCGGGGAGCTAGGGATGGTGTTTTCGAATACAAATTGAATGGTGTTCACTCGAAAATGTTACTTAACACGAATCCTTTATCTGTATGTATCCATTTCATCTTCCATCTAACTCACCATGGAATGTATTAACCAGATATCGTTAAAAAATCTGTGTTTCCTTCATGCAATAGTACGCACTTCACACAGATGCATACCGGGTGAGAATTCGTCTTCACGAACCCATGCTGGTCGTCAGAGGATCACTTGGTCATACAGACTCCCTGATTTGGTTGATGCATGTCATCGTATCCAAATTGCGTAGATCGATGCTCATACTGTCAGTCACTGTAATCTCTTGACCAGACTCGCATATTTACAGACTTCCGCCATACAGCGGGAATATTGCTGAGTGTTGCGTTAAACAACAAACAAACAAACATATACTGATGTATTTTGTTCAGCAGAGGTATTTGTGTACAACATGATCCACACTAGCAGATGTCTGAATACCACGTGATCCACAATAAAAAACAACAGCAGGTGTCTGTTTTCAACGTGATCCACAATAAAAACAACAGTGGGTGTATGTATACCACGTGATCCACAATAAAAACAACAGTAGGTGTATCTATACCACGTGATCCACAATAAACAACAGTGGGTGTATGTATACCACGTGATCCACAATAAAAACAACAGTGGGTGTAGGTATACTACGTGATCCACACTGACAACACAACAATAGGTGTCTGTATACCACGTGATCCACACTTAGCAATATTCCAACAATTTCACGGCGGGGAACATCAGAAATGGGCGTCACATATTGTACCCATGTCGGATGCCTGCATACCACGTGATTCGTAATAATGATTGTTATTTTAAAAGAGCTTGTTAAGACCTGACGATCCAATATTACTTAAAATCTGTTTTATTCACTTGCCCCGATTATGTTTCTAGGTTTGTCAGCACCATACCCGTGCTCGTTGGTTTCACCGAAGTGGTAAACGTCTGAGACCTGCATTACTTCGGGCTTTCCTCCCACATTAAGCGGACACGCCGTGATATAATTGGAATAATGTTCAAAGCGGCGTTAAACCCAACTCACTCACTCACATTAAGAAAACGATCAGGACGAGAAAATGTATAATAATGGTATTCCTGTCAAAATCGTCATGTTACAGGTGATAGTATTTAGGGCATGTTCTCACACCAAACCTTACGATGAGCAATCACCAGCTCAAACATTACCAACTAACAAGGCAACTAAACTTAGAAGTGGTTATCGAAGAAAACTTGGTAACATCAGTTGTTGTGATGTTTGATTCATTGATAATTTTAACCTATTCTTTTAGTTCTCTTCCCTTTGTAAGCTTTAGTTTTGTAAATATCATGTCAAAGTGAACACGACAACTTTAAATTGTCTGGCCTGTGTATGGCATGTCCCCTGTATATGACATGTCCCCTGTGTATGGCATGTCCCCTGTGTATGGCATGTCCCCTGTGTATGGCATGTCCCCTGTGTATGGCATGTCCCCTGTGTATGGCATGTCCCCTGTGTATGGCATTTCCCCTGTGTATGGCATGTCCCCTGTGTATGACATGTCCCCTGTGTATGGCATGTCCCCTGTGTATGGCATGTCCCCTGTGTATGGCATGTCCCCTGTGTATGGCATGTCCCCTGTGTATGACATGTCCCCTGTGTATGGCATTTCCCCTGTGTATGGCATGTCCCCTGTGTATAACATGTCCCCTGTGTATGACATGTCCCCTGTGTATGGCATGTCCCCTGTGTATGGCATGTCCCCTGTATAATGTGTTTATTTGATACGTATAATTAATCACTGGTGTCGTGTTATACACTTCCCCTAAACAGAATTCCACACCAGTGTTATCTAATACTGAAATGACTTAAGGATGTTGGACGCACAACTTGGGCTACCAGTTTTAGATATTTACTGATGGTATCTGTCATGTTTGGCTGAGCCAAGATATTGCCAATGTAAATCATTTTCTATTTCTATTCAAGCAATGACTAAGTGACAGTTTCAAGTAGTAATCATCCATATGTTCATTAAGCATATAAGCATAAAGAAAATGCTAACTGTAGAAATATATTTATGTTGTGATATTCTCGTGTGATTGCAAACATTGCTGTTGAAATGGGCAAATTTGCGCAGACATAGATTTTGTGCATATTGTCATCCGAAAAATCTTTATCATTTGGAAAATGAATTTCACGTGTCGCTTATCTGCGTTATATATACAAATATCATAACTAAATATATTAGTAAATATCTTCTTGACCCTTACACACCTGTGCTTTGTTTGTATGGTGGGAGTAGTGCTGAATAAACATGTCTGTTTGTCTTTGTCTGTGTCTGCCTGACTATCTGTCTGTATGTGTGTGTGTCGAGAACCACGCTTATATCCTTCCAGATAAATTGGTCGTGACTGTCACAATACAGTAATCCCAATAAAAAGCGAAATACACGATTAATGACAAACGTGCCGGAAATAGATAATACTGTTCGAATTATCCGTTCTCGCAGGAAATGTTAATAAATCACCAGAACGAAACAGACACGTAATCAAACATTGTCTCCTACACAGAGAGGAGATGTAGAATAACGGCACATTAGCACTAAACCCTGGCTTCTACCTGTTTGTGATAAATTGGCGTGCATTGCAATTTATACTGTTGAGATGAAGAAAACTAGTCGTTGAAGTTCTCCACGAAAATGTACACAATTCGTAAGAGAAGTTTCTGTGGTAAGCGGGGTATCAGGCCTATTTCAACCCCTCCCCCTTCCCCGGCCAACTTTCCTCCCGGCCTATATCCCCTGCCTATTCTATTCCCCCTTAGATCATCTAGCCCTAGGTCAAACCCCCTTAGGTCATTCTCCCCCGTCCACCCGCCCCCATCAAAAGGAAACACAAAAAAGTAAACCTTTTCACATTTTATTAGTTCATACTTTAATATGATAACAATTAATACTATATACATGATACAATTGCCCTCAAGAATGATAAACTGTGCACAATCCTCAAAATTGTTTGACGGAGTCTCTGAAGTTTTTCCTCTTCTTCAAGTATCTTTGATAAAGTATCAGTTTTTCGTCATTTGTAAGAATAAATGAATGAATACATGGCACTTTCTATTGATGACAACTTCTTGTATTCTTTAGTCACGGCGTTTCAGAGCTGCTTCTTGCCCATTCATCGAGTGAATGAAAGTATGAAATATTAAAGTACGAAATCAAGTCTCATTCATAAAGTATCGATTATTATTATAATATTAAAGTATGAAATCAAGTGGCATTAACAACGTATCAATTGTTCTTTATATATGAAAGTATGAAATCAAGTCTCAATAACCTTCAATAACACCACAGTGAGTGTGCAGCATTCTCCCTAACAACACACGTGTTACAATCACACAGCGTACAGACATGAAGTAGATTCTAGTGATATGTTAGGTTCTGCTTTTCCAACACAGACTGTGAGCAGGAGACATGCGCAGTGAGTTCCTCTCAGAATGCTTCTTGTAGCTGTAGCAGGACTTCCAGTGAGAGTTGTTAGCTACTAGCTCTCACTGTGTTCTATGTAGTCAATCGATGTGTGATACCATACTCCGCTCTCAACGTTTTCCAAGCTGCTGGCGTTTGGAATACCACGAGGCACGATAATCGTGTTACCGCCAACTTTTATCCTTACGTTCCGACATAATTGGCCGTTAATTTTTGGATCAGGACAAATCGTAAAGGTAAGCGATGTTTCACTTATTGTTTATGCGAATGAACATGCATACACTATTTCATATGCTACCAATGCTACGGTGACTGTAGCCATGTCTGTTTTATTAGGAAGGTACAGAAGTTGCATACATGATATTTAGACTATAAATAGATATACAATGTATACCTCGATGGTAGGATTTGTTATTAGAGTATTAGAGTAATAGCTGTGACATAAAACGGAGCTTATTCTGAGGGGGACTTAAAAGTCTTCCAAAACGTTTCCAATATTAGAGGCATCTGTCTGTAGTCATACCCCGGTTGATACTTCCAGATATGTTACAAGCTCGCTTCTAGGCTATCCACACAGGCATGGAGGTGGTGGAATGTGGAGAAGTGTAATAAATGGCGGTCAAGGTTTACACGCACAAATTAAAAACACCCACCCACTCCGCAGTAATCGGTATTATGTGTTCTTTACTGACGCATGTATTGCATCATTCTCTATACCGCCATATATATATATATATATATATATATATATATATATATATATACACACACACACACACACACACAGATGTTTAGATACTGTACAATGTAGTGTCCTCTATACACCCATGTACCTATGTTTTGATACTGTACAATGTAGTGTCCTCTATACACCCATGCACCTATGTTTAGATACTGTACAATGTAGTGTCCTCTATACACCCATGTACCTATGTTTAGATACTGTACAATGTAGTGTCCTCTATACACCCATGTACCTATGTTTAGATACTGTACAATGTAGTGTCCTCTATACACCCATGTACCTATGTTAAGATACTGTACAATGTAGTGTCCTCTATACACCCATGTAACTATGTTTAGATACTGTACAATGTAGTGTCCTCTATACACCCATGTACCTATGTTTAGATACTGTACAATGTAGTGTCCTCTATACACCCATGTACCTATGTTTAGATACTGTACATTGTAGTGTCCTCTATACACCCATGTACCTATGTTTAGACACTGTACATTGTAGTGTCCTCTATACACCCATGTACCTATGTTTAGATACTGTACAATGTAGTGTCCTCTGTACACCCATGTACCTATGTTTATATACTGTATACGACATTATCCTCTGTACAGCCATGCACATACAGTCTACATGTTTAGATACTGTAGACTGTAGTGTCCTCTATACACCCATGTACCTATGTTTATATACTGTAGACTGTAGTGTCCTCTATACACCCATGTACCTATGTTTAGATACTGTACAATGTAGTGTCCTCTATACACCCATGTACCTATGTTTAGATACTGTAGACTGTAGTGTCCTCTATACACCCATGTACCTATGTTTAGATACTGTACAATGTAGTGTCCTCTATACACCCATGTACCTATGTTTAGATACTGTACAATGTAGTGTCCTCTATACACCCATGTACCTTAGTTTAGATACTGTAAAATGTAGTGTCCTCTATACACCCATGTACCTATGTTTAGATACTATACAATGTAGTGACCTCTATTCACCCATGTACCTATGTTTAGATACTGTACAATGTAGTGTCCTCTATACACCAATGTACCTATGTTTAGATAATGTACAATGTTGTGTCCTCTATACACCCATGTACCTATGTTTAGATACTGTATACGGCATTGTCCTCTGTACAGCCATGCACCTACAGTCTACATGTTTAGATACTGTAGACTTCATTGTCCTCGATACAGCCATGCACCTATGTTTAGATACTGTACGCTGTATAGTGTCCTCCATGACGTCATGTAGCTCGGCTCAGATACTGCACCACGTAGTGTTGCCTACACCTCCCTGAATATATGTTCACATTCCCGTTCATTCATTCACCATGTTCATGATCCAGTGTGTTGTCGATGATAGTATGTTGTCTCCTCCATGTTGATGTCCAGTATGTGGGCTTACATATGGCCTGTATAGCTGTGGCTGTATAGCCACAACACAAGACAACTACACTGCAGGATAGTTATAGTTATTGTTAACTTATCCTTGCACAAAATGTATTTAGCATTAATCCAAAATGTACCGTGCTGAAAATGAAAGATCAAAGAAGGTTTTTTGCCACCGCTGATCAACCGCTGATAGAAGACACAGCCTCATTCATCTGCCTCATCATATGGTTCAAGAGCTTCCTTAATCAGGAAATAATTTCATCAATATTTTTTCTCATATATTTCTACGTCAAGAAATCTCATAATTCAATTTGATTTGACCGTGTCCTAGTAGAACTACTGGTACATGTGTCAGTTCTATCTAATCGATATAAGCCGTTGCTGTAAAGAAGCATCGCCTCAAGTTACAGGTAGGACGATTGTGATTAGTATTCATTGGCAAAGAAAGTGATTTCTTGCAGGTCCCTGCAACCGATGAAACATTCCGACAATTAGTCAATGGGACATAGAACCCCTCCTACTGATCGGACATAGTGCCACCCTCCTACTGATATGGGACATAGGACACCTTCTAATGATGGGTCATAGAACCCCTCCTACTGATGGGACATAGAACCCCTCCTACTGATGGGACATAGAACAACTTCTACTGATGGGACATAGAACCCCTCCTACTGATGGGACATGGAACCCCTCCCACTGATGGGACATAGTGCCACCCTCCTACTGATGGGACATAGAACCCCTCCTACTGATGGGACATAGTGCCACCCTCCTACTGATGGGACATGGAACCCCTCCTACTGATGGGACATAGAACAACTTCTACTGATGGGACATAGAAAACCTTCTACTGATGGGACATGGAATCCCTCCTACTGATGGGACATGGAATCCCTCCTACTGATGGGACATGGAACCCCTCCTACTCATGGGACATGGAACCCCTCCTACTGATGGGACATAGTGCCACCCTCCTACTGATGGGACATAGAACCCCTCCTACTGATGGGACAAAGAACCCCTCCTACTGATGGGACATAGTGCCACCCTCCTACTGATGGGACATAGGACACCTTCTAATCATGGGCCATAGAACACCTCCTACTGATGGGGTATAGAACCCCTCCTACTGATGGGACATAGAACACCTTCTACTGATGGGACATAGAACACCTTCTACTGATAGGACATGGAACCCCTCCTACTGATGGGACATAGAACCCCTTCTACTGATGGGACATAGAACCCCTTCTACTGATGGGACATAGAACAACTTCTACTGATGGGACATAGAACCCCTTCTACTGATGGGACAAAGAACCCCTCCTACTGATGGGACAAAGAACCCCTTCTACTGATGGGACATAGAACAACTTCTTCTGATGGGAAATAGAACCCCTCCTACTGATGGGACATAGAACCCCTTCTACTGATGGGGCATACAACACCTTCTACTGATGGGACATGGAACCCCTCCTACTTATGGGAAATAGAACCCCTCCTACTGATGGGACATAGTGCCACCCTCCAACTGATGGGACATGGAACCCCTCCTACTGATGGGACATAGAACAACTTCTACTGATGGGACATAGAAAACCTTCTACTGATGGGACATGGAATCCCTCCTCCTGATGGGACATGGAACCCCTTCTACTGATGGGGCATAGAACCCCTTCTGCTGATGGGACATAGAACCCCTTCTAATGATGGGTCATAGAACCCCTCCTACTGATGGGACAAAGAACCCCTCCTACTGATGGGACATAGTGCCACCCTCCTACTGATGGGACATAGGACACCTTCTAATCATGGGCCATAGAACACCTCCTACTGATGGGGTATAGAACCCCTCCTACTGATGGGACATAGAACACCTTCTACTGATGGGACATAGAACACCTTCTACTGATAGGACATGGAACCCCTCCTACTGATGGGACATAGAACCCCTTCTACTGATGGGACATAGAACCCCTTCTACTGATGGGACATAGAACAACTTCTACTAATGGGACATAGAACCCCTTCTACTGATGGGACAAAGAACCCCTTCTACTGATGGGACATAGTGCTACCCGCCTACTAATGGGACATAGAACCCCTCCTACTGATGGGACATGGAGCCCCTCCTACTGATGGGACATAGAACCCCTCCTACTGATGGGAGATAGTGCTACCCGCCTACTGATGGGACAAAGAACCCCTTCTACTGATGGGACAAAGAACCCCTCCTACTGATGGGACAAAGAACCCCTTCTACTGATGGGACATAGAACAACTTCTTCTGATGGGAAATAGAACCCCTCCTACTGATGGGACATAGAACCCCTTCTACTGATGGGGCATACAACACCTTCTACTGATGGGACATGGAACCCCTCCTACTTATGGGAAATAGAACCCCTCCTACTGATGGGACATAGTGCCACCCTCCAACTGATGGGACATGGAACCCCTCCTACTGATGGGACATAGAACAACTTCTACTGATGGGACATAGAAAACCTTCTACTGATGGGACATGGAATCCCTCCTCCTGATGGGACATGGAACCCCTTCTACTGATGGGGCATAGAACCCCTTCTGCTGATGGGACATAGAACCCCTTCTAATGATGGGTCATAGAACCCCTCCTACTGATGGGACATAGTGCAACCCTCCTGCTGATGGGACATAGAACCCCTCCTTCTGACTCCTTCTAAAGGCGTTGTGAAACCTGTCCTTGGTAGTGTCCCTATTCCGTTCACGAGCGTGACGCAAACTATCCCACTGACAATCATGTTGCTATTTCTGGGGAGATAACGTCCCAAGTACCACATGCATGTCCTTAGAGCCGTCTAACGAATACTACAGGCCATGTTACGCCTTCGACCAGGGCTGTGAGGTTGTGAGTCAGTCAGTTTCTTGACCCAGACAAGTTATGTCAGCTGATTTATAATGTATATAAGTGTTGTGAGCACCTTCTTTTTACCACTATAGTTTACGGTTAGTCAGGCTCGGATAGTCACGGAATTTGTTTTGACGTAATTAAGCTTATTTATGTCACCTTTAAGTGACGCCAACACCCCCCCCCCCCCCCCCCCCC